AGTATGTCTATAAAAATGTTAGATAAAAGCGGGGAACTCAAAGTTAATAATAGAATAATAATTCCCCCCCCCCCCCCAAGTCTTATGTGCGCCGGCTGACTGGCCAGGTATATACCTGGCGTGCTGGGTATATTTTCAGCAGCCGTCTTAGAGCCTGCAGGAGAAGACAGCAACGTGATCGCCCATAAAGTTCAAACCACATTGAAGGCACACATGCTGTGTTTGTAATCAGCAGGGGAAGAATTAGCTATCATATTTCGTTATAGTTCCAAGGGCGGAAAGGGGAAATTGTTTCTTTCTTGTGATGTGGCTGTAAAGCCGACTACGTGCTGCTTGCACACGGTGCGGTCTAACCAATGGCGCCGGAACCTGGGGGCTAAGGCCCCTTCAGCGCCCCCCCCCACATCTTTTTTTAAATAGTCTGAACACCCCCACTAATAATATTATAAGGAGGCGAAGTAATCCACTCTAACCACTAGCATTATCTTTTAAGGTAATTGTTGATACATTTTATATTATTTTAGATATATTACTACATTATGTAGCTTTCAGCATATTATTAATATGCTCTGAAACTAGGATTAACCACCCCCTTAAGCCTCACCACCAATATTGTCAGGCTGTCGGGGCGTTTATATCCAAAAAGTTCAACATGTTTCCTCTGGGGGTCAGGTATCATTGACAAGATGGAAGGCTGGAGGTTAGGTGGCGATATGTGTGCTTCACAAATCATTGAGATGGGAGCATTGCATATAAGGATTATGAATGAGCACTTGACCTGGTAAAGATGCAGACCGCAACTGTAGCTGGGTTTTATGGATGCATGTGCCAGCATTTCCGTCAAGCTCACAGATGCTCCGTCAAGATCACAGATGCTCCGTCAAGCTCACAAATGCTCCGTCAAGCTCACAAATGCTCCGTCAAGCTCACAGATGCTCCGTCAAGCTCACAGATGCTCCGTCAAGCTCACAGATGCTCCGTCAAGCTCACAGATGCTCCGTCAAGCTCACAGATGCTCCGTCAAGCTCACAGATGCTTCGTCAAGCTCACAGATGCTCCGTCTCCCTCGGAAGGCGCCCTATGGTGTAGATGTGATCGGTCCAGTGACACATACTCCAAATACGTTGGATTCTTTCCCTCAATACGTCTCTACCTGCTGGTGGAATCGCACAGAACTTCATGTCTCCTTTGATATGCTGCTTCACGTGTCAGTGTGCCCACAACCAGCTGTCTGTCCAAGAAATGTCTCTCTTCTTCATTGTGTTCTATCTACTGGCCATCTAGAAGCCAGCATTATATCTATGTAAGTCCCTTAAGAGAGATGTGTGTTGCTCGCTACCCTCTCGTCTCCTTTTCAACTATGAGCAGTACAAACTGAGCATCATACATTATGACTGCTCTAGCGACACGAGTACCCCTGGATATCTCAAAGCTGCAGTGGTCGCATCATGTGTATCTGGGAACTAAGCGACTCTTTCATGCCCTTATTAAAGCTTCTCTTTGCGCCGAACCGTCACCGAAGAGATATCTGTATTGGAAGTGTAATCTGACAATTGTTCGACTCTCAATTCTGCCAACCCAGTTACACAATGATCTGCATCAGGGTGTATAGTGCCGTGCCGACGTCGGTCTACCAACTCCCTCAGATTATCAATACAAGTTCAAGAGTTTTAATAAACGACAAGTAATAAAACAAAATAAGGTGATCCTCAAATGGATGATATGGCTCTACTTAATTTTTATACCAGATCATATATTTTACTTCAATAAACAAAGGGCCACTGAAAATCTCTCTATAAGTCAAGGTTGGCTTGAAGGCCGCAATTTGCTGACGCCTGCTCTACAACACTAGCTTTAACTCTCTGGAAATTACCTTTTAGATGCCCGACCCCCCCCCCCCCCACCTTTTTTTTTTATAAACCCCTTTATGTGTATATGTGATTCTGCAGTAGTATCTTCTACATGCGCCATACATAACCGTCCTCTGTTTACCCAGCTACCCGTGCGATCACCAAAGCCACCACACTAGTGGCTAGCATGTAGGTCTTGGTCGATGTCACTACAAGTCTATAGACTACCCATCAAAGACCAATCATCCACATGATCGTTCTGACAAGTGTGCAACCCGAGACAGTTCGCATTCATTCATTCTGGGTCCGTTATAGTTAGAATAGCCTGTGACAACTAGATGACTAATAATATCCTGCTATTAAACTGACAGGCAAGCATACACGCACGCGGAATGAAAACTGAACGAACGAACTGACTATTTTCAATAGGTTAAGAACTGGGCACGCAGGTCTGTCTAACATTCTGCACTTCTAGTCGCCCTCTTTTGTAAACCATTTCATTTATGCATCACATAGACATACAGATAGATAGATAGATAGATAGATAGATAGATAGATAGATAGATAGATAGATAGATAGATAGATAGATAGATAGATAGATAGATAGATAGATAGATAGATAGATAGATAGATAGATAGATAGATAGATAGATAGATAGATAGAATTCATACTAAGGGGGATAACAATGACTAAGAAACTACACAGTATCACACAGAACTTACTGGCCGTATTACAAAATATTTACAATCAACTGAGAATTCGTCTTTTTCCACTACTGCTACTACCACCAGCATTACCACCTACTACTACTACTACTACTACTACTACTACTACTACTACTACTACTACTAATACTACTACTACTACTACTACTACTAATACTATTACGACTACTACTAATGCTACTGCTGCTGCTGCTGCTGCTGCTACTACTACTACTACTACTACTACTACTACTACTACTGCTCCTACTACTAATACTAACGCTGCTGCTACTACTGCTGCTGCTGTTACTGCTACTAATGCTGCTTCTACTAATACTACGTCAGCCCTTACAAGAGTGGTTTGCACCTTAAGTTGTCATACAGCTAGGATGCCATATCTGCGCATTTCGGCATAGGGTATTTCTCAACTTCTACGGAAGATAATTTGCAGCAGCGGCAGATGGGGAAGAGGTAGAGAAGCAGCAGCACAACAGCAGCAGGAGATTAAGGGGGAAAAAAGGGAAAAAATGATGGCAAGTCCCTTGTCTATATCTAAATAGGTCAACGTAACAGAGAGCTGTGTTGAAAATAGCTGTCAGATGATGTTCAATGAGGCAGAAAAGATGAGGTTTGGCTATCGAAAGTCTGTACACAGACACGGTGTGAGAGTGTGGATGATTCCAGCCGTGGGCTATTATGATTATTCCTCAAAGCATGAAACTTGTTCTTGGGGTCAACCTTACAATCAATAAAGGTGTAGATATTTGTGATTCTCTCATTTGCAATCAACTCCACACAGGTCGACAGACAAAGCGCGGGAGGGAGGGGGGGGGGGGTTGAATGGTCTAACAGACAGATAAATATAAATGATCAAGTCGATACAAGTAGGTAGGTGATCATAGTACACTCACAAGATGACCAGAATTACAGATCAGGTCTGTGTTCAGCACATGCAAGGTGGGTCCAGTCACCTAGTCTAACCATGTTTCTCAATTTCTTGTCCTGTCTTGAATGACGATTTCTCTTGTCTATTTGGCGTTCACAGACTGTACACTCCGGTGGAAAGTCTTCATTGTTCGCTCATTGCTGGACCTTGGTCTTGTTTAGAACTTGAGTTCTGCACGTACGCCCATTTTACATGCCTGGTTGACGTGTTTGCAGACTGTTGATTAGTCGCCTCTCAGGCAGATGTACTCTGGCTTCGAGGGAAGCACCCCCAATTAGTCGTTTTTACGACACGTTTGTTAAGTAGGCATTGTGTCTATGTTTCCCCACAACAGGGCCCTATAACTCAATGAAGAAACTAGTTTCGCTACTGCTCTATTTTCTCTCAACAGAGCCTTATAACTCAATGAAGAAACTAGTTTCGCTACTGCTCTATTTTCTCTCAACAGAGCCTTATAACTCAATGAAGAAACTAGTTTCGCTACTGCTCTATTTTCTCTCAACAGAGCCTTATAACTCAATGAAGAAACTAGTTTCGCTACTGCTCTATTTTCTCTCAACAGAGCCTTATAACTCAATGAAGAAACTAGTTTCGCTACTGCTCCATTTTCTCTCAACAGAGCCTTATAACTCAATGAAGAAACTAGTTTCGCTACTGCTCTATTTTCTCAACAGAGCCTTATAACTCAATGAAGAAACTAGTTTCGCTCTACTGCTCTATTTTCTCTCAACAGAGCCTTATAACTCAATGAAGAAACTAGTTTCGCTACTGCTCTATTTTCTCTCAACAGAGCCTTATAACTCAATGAAGAAACTAGTTTCGCTACTGCTCTATTTTCTCTCAACAGAGCCTTATAACTCAATGAAGAAACTAGTTTCGCTACTGCTCTATTTTCTCTCAACAGGGCCCTATAACTCAATGAAGAAACTAGTTTCGCTACTGCTCTATTTTCTCTCAACAGAGCCTTATAACTCAATGAAGAAACTAGTTTCGCCACTGTTCTATTTTCTCTCAACAGGGCCCTATAACTCAACGAAGAAACTAGTTTCGCCACTGCTCTATTTTCTCTCAACAGGGCCCTATAACTCAATGAAGAAACTAGTTTCGCCACTGCTCTATTTTCTCTCAACAGGGCCCTCTAACTCAATGAAGAAACTAGTTTCGCCATTGCTCTATTTTCTCTCAACAGGACCCTATAACTCAATGAAGAAACTAGTTTCGCCACTGCTCTATTTTCTCACAACAGGGCCCTATAACTCAACGAAGAAACTAGTTTCGCCACTGCTCTATTTTCTCTCAACAGGGCCCTATAACTCAATGAAGAAACTAGTTTCGCCACGGCTCTCTTTTCTCTATTTTCAAGCTGTCAATCACATGTTTCCTCTGTCAGGTGTACACAAGTCTATATTGGCTGTTTCATGACAGGGTCTAATTTTGTAAAACATACATTATTGTGGTAGCCATTAGTGCCCTTCTTTGGTGTCGTCTACATACTACATCAATGCATGCAGCTGATCTCCAGTAAAACACTTACCTGGCTAACAGGAGGTTGCACTGTGTATATCTGTGAAGCTAGTGGTGGCGAAGGCGATGGAGATGGGGATGAAGCTGGAGTCTCAGATAGTGATGAAACAGGTGAACACACGGGAAATGGTGGAGTCTCCTGGCTGCAGGTGGGGGAGTCTGGACAGGAGGAGGAGAGGACGGGTGACGGCGACAGTGTAGTGGCAGGGATCAGCACAGGAGGTGTGCAGATCTGAGGTGGCACAGGCGCAGGCGCTACCCGCGCTGTGGGTTTCTGGGGCTGAAACTGCGTTGTCGATGAATAACTCCTGGGTATTGGTAAGGTGAACGTAGCAGTTGAACGGGCGACACCTGTCGGTGAATTCGCAGCGACAGGTTTTACTGCACTGTACGAAGGGTACTGCAACTGGTCCTGGTGAGCTTGGCCGTGTATTCTGATCACATGACCACCGTGTCCTACTGCTGGCTGAACTCTAATATTTTGACCTCCGCGACCTTGGATGTGGATTTCATGACCCTGTCCTTGTATTTTAATTGCTGTACCTGCACTGCTGCTAATATTCGTCTGACCGCGCTTAATACTAATTGATACACCTCCACCTCTACCCCCGCCTGCGCTGCCCAGTGAGGAGATGATCAAGTCGGAACCTGGTTGACCAACACCTGTGGCACCGCCACCAATTCGAATGCTAGGTCCTTGAACAACGACCTGTCTCTGAGGGTGCAGGCGCATTAGGCCAGATTGATGAGCTACTGGTCTATGATCCAAATGCATTCCAGCCAATTCATGACCTTCTCTTAATATGGCCAGACTTCGAGTGCGCGGAACTAATTTATCCTTCGTGTTTGTTGGAGCAGAAAAGTGTGCACTACTGTGGTAGATGGTGCTACCGTCGTGGTCTAAAGACGGACTTCCGGGTGATGTAGACGCATACGAGACAGCATGTTCTGATGGGCCTGAAACTCTTCGTTGTCTGCCTGAAGGGAAGTTCACTGGCGAACAAACTCCAAAATGGATAGCCCCACAAAGGTCATCGACCTGACCCAGCTTACACGAGCTGCAGCTGTGAAGGGAGCGGCAGTAGCGGAGGTCAATCTTGCTGGCATGGTACAGGGTGATCCGCGAGTGGACGTAGGCGGTGCAGGCACCCTCACCACTACTCCTATTTCTGGTCATGATCAAATCTTTCTCTCGTGTCATGGGACGATGATGATAGCACAAATGTTGTACACGTTATTTAGCCGACACTGATAGATAGATCTCTCAAGTGACGTAGTCTGAAAGTCTACACAAAACTGTGGCACTAAATAAACATCCTCAGTCAAAGGAAGTATTTTCTAGGCCTCCTGCGGTCTCTCGGCATCTCCTCATCGTGTGTTATACTGGGACTGTGCCTCGTTTAATCGGAGATGGTCCATTTTTGAAACGCTTCTTTACGGCAATGACATCGCATTCCTGCAGGAAACACGTTTAGGGGACGAGGCAGTTAGAGTTGCGGGTTTTCAAGATTTCAACAATCGGCGGCATCTCTGACAGCATGATAGTGTCCGAAGTTGACATGCCTGAATGGAACAGTGACGTCCTGCAGGTGCACGCTAGTAAGAGTGCCTGCCACATCCAATTCGCGATCGTCAATGTTTACGTCTATAACGGAAAGGTCGGCGTGCGGCAGTGGCATCGTTCGTTTGCACCCAGGAAGGAAACATTTATTGCGGCGACTTTAACGCCAGGGGCAGACAATGGTGTAATGTCATTACCAATAAACAAGGGGAAGATCTGGAGGAGGCCCTGGTATCTGCTGAACTGGTATGTTTGAATGACGGACAAGTCACTAGATTAGCCACTCGACCAGGTGACTGTGACAGTGTGATTGACTTGGCTCTATTGTCGCCCACCATCGCCCCTGTTTGTAAATGGAGTACACTGGGGTACCATCACAGCGACCACCTGCCCTGTGTTGTCTTGGTTGAGAAGATCGGGGGAAAAAGCAGTCAGATATGCAGAATAAATACTTTCCAGTATGATAACACAGCACAGGATGCCATCAGCAAAGTTAGACGCTGCAAAGTAAATACCTCCCACAGACAGAAAGAAATAGACCCTGGTGGGAGAAGAGGTTTTAAGGACATGGTTGGACAAAAAGCAGGCCGTCAAGATATGGCAGAAGGTCAGGAAGAGTAGCTAGTCAATAAGACAACAATGGCTTTTAAGCTATGTGCAAAGCAGGTCGAGGATGAGAAATGAGATGATTACTGTAAGAAGGTGTGCTCTGAAGGATCTCTTGCCACATTTTGGCGACTTCATCAGGCGATAAATAAATAAATAATAAAAAATTTAAAAATCGATAAATGGCACCTCACGACGTCGGGGTATCCCAGACTCTCAAAGCACAGACCTGACATGGCAGAAATCTGATACAGATAAAGGATAGATTCTCCTTCAGCGCTACTTGGACCAGACCGACCAGAAAGATGAGGCAGTCAGACTGGGAGTTAAGTCAACACTTTCAGAGTTGTGTGAACAGGCGTTTTTTGAAGTGTCGATTTCAGTATTACAACTGAGACCATACAGACAACACTGAAGAAATCGTCCAGCACCCCATCAGGCCCAGACGGCATCCAGTATGGTGATATGCTGCAGATGTCAGCGGACGATATGTCAGAACTGGCAGAAGAGTTCAACGTCAGCATCAGAAGTGGTCAAATCAGAGAGGAACAGCTACACAGCTACCTACTACCGTTGCCAAAACTAAATAAAGACCATTCCAAAAACAGTGGCTACACAATCATTACCATACAGAACACTACGGGCAAGCTTCTGTGAAAAACTGTAGCACATGTACTCGCTGATGACTAGGAAAAGCATGGCAGGTTACCATCCACACTTGGAGGATACAGACGAAACAAAGAGACATGGCTCAATGCAGCAGTTTTCGCCTGTGAAGTCTTTGAAGGTTTTCAGATGAGAGACGAGACAGGTGCAGCTGCACTAGACTTAGAGGATGCGTTCAACAGAGTATCATTTGAATACTTAGTTGCACGTACTTCTCAAACTGCAAGAATCTCCCTTCATCACCCACTGGGTAGCCGCAGCACTGTTTCAGAGACGGGTGATACTCAGGTGTGGCGGCTGGTTCTCAGAAACGATAACCCTCAAGGTTCTCCGCTGTCTCCAGTTCTATTCAATGTGAACACGGTGCTGATAACTGAGCTGCAATTGCACGGGAGCGGCAGGACCTAGTCATTTGCTGAAGACGTCTTGGTAAACCGCCATGGAAGAAATCGCCAATTCAATGCAGAGTGAACATGATCGCATCTCCTCCTTGTGTGTAGATTCTAATGCTAAAGTCAACCCTTCAAAGGCCTCAGTAACATGGTTCTCCTTGAACAAGCATATAGTGAAGGCAGACTTACAAGCAGTGGAAAGCAGCGAGGACATTTTGACGAGAACAAATCTGATGATATTCCTCGGAGTGAGGTTTGATTGCAGCCTATCCTTCAAAAAACATGTTGACCATGTTATAACAAAAGTACGCAAAGGCCTGTCAGCAATGAGGGTACTGGCCGCCGTTAATTCCCGCGTATGTATGCTGAATGATTCTTTGAGTATGATGAAGATGGCCAGCCCATGGATCACGCAGTCATTGTCAATGCCCTTAGAAGATAGGACGTCCTGTGGATTTTGGAAGCAACGTGTCCACCTCACCGCTAAGAATACGAGAACTGGGAGTAAAGATCGGCACAGCCAAGCACGAGAAGCACACAGGCCGCACACGAAGTCTTGTCAACCAGCATTGGACTGGCACTATTAACCGCGCGACGCTGATGAATATGTTGAGAGGGGAATCTGAGCACCTATGGATGTGTTCAAAGTGCTGTGAAGATAATCCAAGTCATAACTCACACACAAGAAAACTAAGTGGAACTACATGGGGCGCAAATGGTAAAATACTTAGGAATGTTTATTAACAAAGGGTACAATCACACCTTGAACACGGGTCTAGTGCATGGAGTTCAGCATCAAAGGCCACACTACAAAAGTTAGACAAGGTGTAAAAACAAGCGCTTAGGGTCAAAACAGGCGGGATGAAATCAACATCTATAGCTGTGATAGAGAAGATGGCGAAGACTCAATCACTGACAGAACGAAGAGACACTAAGATACTGATACAAGCAGAAAAGTTTCTTAGCATGTCTAAACAGCCTATGAAAGAAAGATTTCAAAATCCAGCAATGAAGCGACTAAAAAGAAGCAGTTTCATCCACCAGGCCCATCGAGTCTGTAGGCAAACCAATGATCTGTCTGCAACTGACAGCAACTTGAATGATATTCCAGATCGGACCCCTTGGAAAGAGGATTATAAGTTGCCAATACACTGCCAGACAGAAGTGAAATGAGTATTCGACAAGGAAGTTCAAAACAGTGTGCAATGTAAAACAGCCACCCTCGCTCTACTCGATGACGAATACCCACATAATCTTTGGGTTCGTGTCTATACGGGTGGGTCTGCACAAAACAGAAGCAGAAATGGAGGAGCAGGAGTGTATATTAAGCATCCAAATAATACCGGATACACAGCCAAAATATCTACAGGAAAGCATTGTCACAACTATGATGCAGAAAGTCAAGCCATCACAATAGCAGCACAGAAACTGTTAAATTTACGTCATATTTCACAACCCGTGGTATCTCTGACAGATGCAAGAGCGGTACTTCAGGCACTCCAATCTGGAAAATTACCTGGTATACGAACATTGCTCTCCAAACTAGGCAGCCGGTGTAATGTAGTTAAGCAATGGATACCATTCCACTTTGGAGTTCCTGGAAATGAGAGAGCTGATAAACTAGCTAAGGAAGGTGCAAATGAAGAACAACCTGACGTGCCAGTCTCTTATCAACAGAAGAAGAGAAAAATCAAATCAATCAGAAAGCCACCAAAACCGGCACAAGAGGATAACCATTTAATGTAAACTCCAGGGCAAGTCTTTATTCTACGCCTTAGACACACAATTGACTTCGCAGCCACAAGTACGCACACTTTTTAATCCGCGAATCAGCCATGTACAAATGTGAACTGGCACCTGAGACAACAGATTACATCCCAAGATTGTATTAAATACAATATATCAAGGCAAAACTTTTGGCAATGACAAACACCGGTGCAGGCCAAACTTTACAAAAGACAGTGAAGTTCATATGAGAGACAAGACTGCAGATGTATTTCAAGTAGACGAAAGAAGAAGACGCTTGATAGAATAAGACACCGATAAAAAGAATGTCGTGGACTTTTTGACCAGGGCATTTGGGTGTGTGTGGAAATGAACAGATTGATAGAATAACTGCTGCCGCCTATCTGGACGGTGAGCTACTTTATGATAAAGCGGACGTGGCGAAAGCTCTTTGAGATAAAGTAAACGGTGCAATAGAACATACATTTATGTTTGTGTGTACATACATTTATGTGGGTGTGTGCGCGCGCGCACTATTTTTACAATCACATTCACTGTTATAATTTTTTTTTAACCATTTGTATTTTTTTCTAGCTCCTACTTGTTCATTTTAAGAAGCTACTATGTTTCATCCAACTGATGAAGAACCACAGCCATTGGTTAACGCCCCTTACACAGCATACAGAAGAAGCAGCCTAAATGTTTCCACCAGCCCGCCAGAAACATACACAACCAGAGGCAAATGGATCTCAAATCTGGTTCCAGGATAAACAATCAACAGCCACGTTAAAACAAGCAGACACAAGCTGTATATGCAGTGCTTTGTCTGCCTTCAGGAATGAATACCTCAAATCCCGGAACATGGCTAATCTGTTTGCGATACCTGCTCCTGTAAGCAGTGCGCATTATTCTAGTTAAGCATCCGATACTAGTATCTCAGTGGACAGAGATTAAGTGTGAGGTCATTTTACTGTCACTCTGTTAATCCAAAGCTTGTGAGATCTTTGCCATTTTGCTGTGTTAGCTGCCTATCCTATAACCTCTTCATGCGATCGCATCTCTGATGATTACACTGTCACGCGGTCTCTCCAACGAACTCGACAATGGTGATCTTTTTGAGTCTTCCACAGTTTGTTAAGCGCTGATTTGGACATAAGTGCTGATTCGGACATAAGTACTGATTCGGTCATAAGTGCTGATTCGAACATAAGTGCTGATTCGGACATAAGTGCTGATTCGGTCAGTATATAT